CCGTTATACTATCTATATATTATTATTATTATCATTATTATTATTATTTTTATTATTATTTTTTTTTTTATTATTATTGTTATTATTATTATTACTACTACTACTACTACTACTAGTATTATTATTATTACTACTACTACTACTACTACTACGATTACTACTGACCCCAGGCCAAGTGGGTGACAAAAAACGTTGACCCCAGTCGGCAAAGCAACTTCAAGGGGCGGGGGTTATTCATGTGACCCCCACGTTACACCCCGACTGCGGCATGCCTGCTTGCAGTGATTGAAAGCTACTTGTCCCCAGTGGCTGACAAAATCGAGTTCATGCGTGAACAGCCGCTTTGAGCTCGTGGTTGCTGCTGGCCCGAGTTGGTGTCGCAGTGGCCCGCAATGACCCGGCAGGATTCAACGACAAAGAAAAGAGAACACGAAGCTGCAAAACGAATGCTGCTGCCTTATTTATGCCTTACGTACTCAGAAACGAATCGGCACTGGGTCTACATAGTTCTGAGAACACGGCGACGTCGGCATGGAGGATGACGAGAATTCACTAGCCTCGCCCTTCCACACAGCAGCACAACAGTTCCTAATGGATCATGCAACAGCACCTGGCCACACCGGCGCGGTGCTGTGCAGGAACAGCTTGGAGATAGATGTATCAATGCCCTGTACCACACTTGGCCAAGCTGGGATGTCGCTTCCGCTGGGGAACGTGGTGTTTTGATCTTGTCGTCGCCACGAGCGATCAACCACAGGCGGACATCCCATTCCTGTCCTCTTAAGAGGATATGCTGGCTCTGCTCAAAGTCTAAGTCTGCAGGCGCAGTCAAGATCCATCTTCAACTCCAGCTCATCGACTTCACTTGCGAACATGCTTCGCAGGCAGCCGAGAAAGTCCAAGTGCGTTGTTCACGCGCCGCTCGTCGACAGTGCGTTGTGTTCCGCGCAACGTGGATGGGGAACTGGCGGTTGGGAGTTTGCTGTGCAGACGACTGGGAGCGTGAAATCCTCATCTCACCACACTGACCAGTGCTGGTGTAGTGTGGACGGTTGCAAACCCTGCCACAAGAGCTTTCCACAACAACTTACAACTTTCTCTTCTGCCTGCCGATTTTCCCTGCTTCAGATCTGCCGTGTAACTCGTGGCAGGAGATGTTGGACAGCGATGGGTTCGAGTTACTGTGGCAGCAGGCGGGTCACTACTGCAATGGCCACCTTGTGTCTGTTGGCAATGCAGTGGAAGATAGCCATGCATGATCGGACGTGCAGCGTAACACGTGACAGAGCTGACCTCGGCGGACGCACAGCTGCAGTCCGAGGACAATACACGAATGGAGGTCAAGAGGGATCCGAGCTGCCGCGTCTTCGAGTATCGACTTGCAATCCGGCCAAAAGAAGTTGACATTTCGGACAGCTGGTGGAATCCAGGGCAACAGCTGGGCAACTGCGGGAAGCTCCAAGGTAATTGATCTGGAGCAACCGCTGAGCCAGGCTGCGGCCCATCGGGACATCGCAGAATGCTTGTTTCCCCGGTTCCACTGGCAGCCGTCGGCAGCCTGTCGGCAGGCCATGTCCCACTTTGAGGAGGTGGACCTCATACACAAGGCTCCTTGGAGCTTTTTGATGTCGGGCGCTTCACTCGCGAGGGGGACTTCAGGTCGGGTTCTGTACGAAGTGAGCATCTTTGTCGTGGCCGCTGGGTAACGAGAGAAGTCCTTTGTTTGTCTCTTAGGCTGTAGTTTCTCTCCAGGCATCATTCAGCAGCAGTTGTTTGGCCAGTCCTGCCGTGACACAGCCAAGACCAGGCTACACCGTACACTGCAGGCAGCTTAGGATACCTAGAAAGCTTCTATGACATTCTGTGACCCGTTCTGTGATGTACTGTCTAATCATCTAGTCTCGATCGATGTCGCCGGCAGCTGCCCCCTCGTCAATGCAAAGTCTTCCGTGGTAAGGCTTACAAACACACGGCCCTTGAAAGGTTCAGAAGCAGCTGTGCCAGCCCGTGAGAACTCTGGGCAGCGCATCTCCTTGGCAAAAGGTGGGTGGGAATCAGTTGTGTTGAGGGCATGTCATGTGACCGACGTCATGTTCAATCATGCTCAGGCGAGTCCACAAGCTTCAAGTGTTGTCAGGTTTCCGATGTCTGATGGGGCATGAGTAGTGATGAGCTGGACTTGCCAGGTGTACATGATGTGCTTCAATATTGCGGTCTTGCGGATCGAGGTGCTGCATGCACCTTGTCTTAAAGATAGAAAGTGAGCAATGCTATGGAAATCCGTAAAGGGACTCGGCACTGCGACACTTCCCTGCATAGGTGTTTACCTGCCTGTGGAAGCTCTCAGGAGCTGTTCCGATACAGGGATGAGACGAACGGCTTTATCTTGGAAGGCATCCGCACAGAATTTGACCAGACAGCCTTGGATGCAACTCGACCGAAATCACCGAAGTTCACAGGGCCGAAGAGCTGCGACATTGCATCGGCAGGTAACTGCTGTTTCAGGTCGGTGGGAGCTAGGTATCGTGCAGGGCAGGAACGCGTGGGGCGATCCTGCCTGATCTTGGTGCTCGATAGCATGTGTGAAGAGGCCGGAGCATGTAAGGTCCCAGCGAAGTCCTGGCGCGCCATCCGGCCGTGGAGCATCACAGCAAATCTCTGGAAGCCGCATGAGGTGAGTCAGTCTGAGTGCTCTTCCGAAAACAGCCTCACGGCTTGTGGCATTGGGAACTGTCAGCACGTTGCTCCCATCGTCTGCGAAAGATGCGAGTCGGCCACGTGCTGGATGTCCTCTCTTAGTTAGGGAAGAACGATTCCGGTTCATCAGGTTTGTAGAGGTTGTCGGAGTTTCAGGGTCCTAAGATGTTGTCCGAGGATTGAAGATGGCAAGACCCAATATAGGTCGCAACACCCCACAACATGCACAAAACTATAGTCAGGTCTCGATTGACAGCAGGCTCTCTCCCTCTCTCTTGCACGTTGGTCTGGCGTCAGGATGGATCTGGCAGGACTACCTTCGTCCATGTGTCTCGCGCCTGGACTGCTAAGGCTAAGGCTTAAGCGATGGTGTGAATCTTGAGCCATTGCTGCTGCAGAGTCGTTGGTCTGTCTTGTCTTTGTTTCAGGTGCTGAAGCCGGGATGACATTGGCATCTTGGGTTCCTCGATACCGCAATATACGGAATAGCAGCGGAGCAGAAAGCTTGGAACTCTAGGAGGTAACGGCAAGCAGAAGCTCTTGCATTGTCTTTCATCCTATCACGTGTCAAGAAATGGCCGAGAGGTGTTGCTTTGTTCACATGTGTTGGTGCCCGGCCCGATCGGCTTCACACACACGCGCACGCACACCCACACACACACACACACACACTGACTGTGATTGCAGTTTATGCAGACGTATTGGTAGAAGTAGTAGTAGCAGCCGTGGTAGCAGCAGTGTAGCAGTAGGTGCACACCCCTGTCCTCGGACTCACAACAGGAACTGACGGTGAAAACAATTCAAAAGCTGCCTACTTGTGAGCCATTTGCTGAGACCACTTAGGACTTGGTCATAAAGGAAAACTTTAGGAGACGTTATAAAGATGTAAGATCCCTGACGGAGTCGCATTTCCCTGCTGGTCATTACATCGTGGAAACAGTGTTTGCGGTCAAAATAACGGGCAGCGTTAGAGGGCACTGAACAAACACTGAAATTCTGCAATGAACGGCAAGATGCACCTGCTGGTATTGCGAAAAAAATAGCTTCAGCCTGCCTGAGGCCCTGCCATGAAATCCCAAAAGCAACCCCGTGCTAGAGAGACCTTAGCTTCGCTGCATTGCAACCTCATGGCTCAAGAATGTGCATTCGCACTATTCGAACTCTCGGTGTTTTGCCTGGAGTACGTCAAGCCAGTTCCCGCTGCAAAGGCTCACGCACTCGAGAGCACTGGAGTCAAAAGACCAAAGCGAGTGAGCGTTGTGCATTGATCAGGGAGCTGAGATTGGAACCTGAATATTACGTGTACACTACATCTTCTACATCAACAAGCTCACAGTGGGGGGGGCATGTTCGATACCAAGCCCGCACGCAACTTCTACTACCACGACGACTATTACTATCTCTGCTGCTACTGCTACTGCTACACTGCTGCACGGCTACTGCTACTACCACTACTACCACTGGCACTACCACCTAATCACTGCTGCTGCGTCTAGTAATTCGTAGTACTAGTACTAGTACTAGTATTAATATATTTATTATTGTTATTACTACTACTATTATTACTACTACTACTCCTACTACTCGTTCTACTCGGCTCTCGCGCCATTTTGGCTCAAGTTTCGGCTCGAGAACGACGTTCGGTGGGGAGCCTTGCTCCGCTGCATCACATAGGGAGGCTCCGTTACTTGAGACTCGCCTGTTTCGCCTGGTCTTCTTGAACCTTGAACCTCTGTCCTTCTCACGCATTGTCTGTCGGTAGAAAACTCCTTGCTTCTGCGCACTACTGCACTGCACTGCCTGTTTCCTTGCCACTGAGCTGTTGTATATACTGCCATGTACCTACTTGCCCCTGCGCCTCGGGGCCGACTGCCTCTGCGTGCACAGGGCGGGGGGCGTCTTCACAAGGGCGGGGCGGAGGGATGCCGAATGCACTATTACTACGGAGCGGTAAGAAATGGATTTGGATGCAGATGCTGATGAGGAGTTCGGGGGTGACGACGATGATGATACGAGCACTGTTCCAGGGTTTCCCCGCGAGCCGAGAAATGGACACCCTCGCCCAAGAAATGTCCAAATTTGCTTTGGGATGTGGGGACCCCCCCCCACCAACTCCCCCCCCAACCTACTCCCTTGCCTTCGTCGCGTTTTGTCTTGGTATCCCGCTGCACCTGATCGCCCCCCTCCTTGACCCTTGTCTTTAACTCCCGCCTGTGAGCCTCCCTAATCGATGTGGTTTCACCATCCCCACGCGATCTCATGGCACCCCAAACATGGCCTCCTAGTGATCCCTGGCATTCCAACAGGAGCTCCCTGCCCTGCAACACGTCCGGTGAATACAGAGAAATTCGATCGCTGCAAAACGGTTGCCCAGAGCTGGTTGGCGATTGCGAGAAACAGAGATAGACGCATACAGCTTTGGGGCAGGCTGCTGCTTCCCGGATGATGTCTGGCTTTGAAAAGACGTGGATGCTCAGTGAAGTCCCGAGATGCCTGAAGAAAGGGGCTGCATCGAACTGCTACTTCGGACCTGCCAGGCGACTACAAGTGCAGACGAAGACTGCCGGTGGTACACGGCAGTTGAGGACACTGTGGTGGACCAGTGTCGGCAAGAGTCGAGTATTCACCGTGGCAGGTGATGCCCGGTGTGTTGGGGCCACGATGGCTCCTGGCCCTCGCAGGGAGCATGCATGTACATGCATGTACAACGACTACAAGAGCTCCCACGTGAGGTCTGGCGAAGGCTACCTCTTGATTTATCACACATGCTACCCCGTGGGATGTGACAGTGATACTGACCTTGCCCAACGCCGTAGAGGAACCCTCTAGTGCGGGCGCTGTTGCAGTGCACCGCGAGGCGATGAAAGAAGCTTGACCAAAAACCTCACTGCCTGCCATGCGACACGGGGGAAGTTAGGACTGTCGCAACTCGCTCAGAGTTGCTGTACTATCAAACATGCGCATGAGCATCTGGTGTACAGGAGATTTGGTCCCTTCACACGTTTCCCCCCGTCCAACCCAATGGGTGCGGGGAAACGGTGCATGGCGCTGTCTCGTGAGTGAGAGAAGACAACCCAACTTCAATTTGAGATTATGAGAAGGCCATAAAGTTGGGGTTGGGTGGCTGTTTGTTTGTGAGCCTTTAATGAACAGTTTTTCGACGATCGTGCGTCTACCGTGACAACAAAGATGGCCTCCTTAGCAGACTGACCATATTAAGAGGATGCGTTGAGCGCCAACAATTCAAACACTGCATTCACGATGATTTCCCCTTCAAGCTGTCAGGACCGGATAAGTAGGGTGGGTAGCTGTTGTGATCCTTTTAACAAGGGTTTGTGTGTCCTATCTCTCAGTCTTGGTAGTTGTGTTGGCCGTGACAGTAACTAGCAACAGTAGGGTGTGCTCCTTTACAATGAGGCCTCCTCATGAGGACTTACTGGGGTTGGGAGTTCTTAGTCTTATCGTTTGTGAGCTTTCTTTGCTGAGAGGTGACCTTGTGGAACACGGAGCATACGCACAAGATACGTGGTACACCACTAATTCAATATGCCCTGCCTTGTATATGAATGCAAGTCACTGATAAAATATTGATGGTCGTGTTTGAAAGCTCCTTGTCAATGTCTGGCATGAGCCTGCGTGATCGCCTTGAGTTCAGGTTGGTATCTGTTGGTTAGCCTACAAAAAGGTTTTTCCCCTTGCTCGCTGGTCTTGCTGAAGCACATGAGTGATCACACCCGTTCAAATTAGTATCACGGCAGCTTGCCACTGCACGTCGACATGGATGCAAAACAAGTGCAAGTTAGTTGACGTGTGACTTTTCCCCGGAGATGTGGTCTGCCAGAGGATTCCTTTTTGGCGTTTTTGTTGCTTCGCAAGGCTAGACTACATTGCTGGATTCGTGGATCGTCAAGACCCCACAGTGCTGTCGACGGCGTGCCAAGTGGGTGACAAAACAAGTACTGCTACTACTCGTCCTCTGCCTGCTGCTGCTGGTGCTACTGCGGCTGCTACACTTCACTACAACTATAACAATAACTGACAACAACAATTACTACGACGACGACGACGACTACTGCTGCTGCTGCTACTACTACTACTACTACTGCTACTACTACTACTACGACGACGACTACTTCTACGTCTACTTCTACTCCTGCTCCTACTGCTACTGCTATTACTACTGCTGCTGCTGCTGCTGCTGCTTCTACTTCTACTTCCACGGCTACTACTGCTGCGACTGCAAGACTGTTGCCACTACTGCTACCAACACCGCCACGAAAGACCAACTTTGGATACAAGTTGTTTTGGCTGGCTTTATTTCTACTGCCCCACCGCGTTTGGGAATCGTTGAGGCCGGTGTGTAGCAGCCGGGTGGAAGCAGACGTGGTGTCACACGAGGAATGCTACTGCTTCATCTAGTGTGATGATGGTTAGCAAAATTGATCTCCGAAAAGGGAGCTCTGAGGGAACTGACATAGCTGAGATGCTGGACACGGCGGCATACTATGTGGCTCGCGGCTTTGCATCGGATGTCAACAAAGCCGCTGCTCATCTGTAATTTGCTGTGAGTTGGATGCTGAATTGACCCATGCGCATTCTGCCCGCTATTTCCGCCGGTTTTCCGGCCAGGCTTTCGAAGCTTCGCTGCCGGGAAGCCCATGGATGGAGCGCATGCAAGCCGACAAGGACGTAAAATCTTGCTCGAAAGCTGGAGTTGAAACAGAAACCTTCCTTGGCTTCTACCCTTTTGATTCAAGGATGATTTCATGATGTCTTGTAGCTCTCGGTTGGTTGAACTACAACATCATTGCCATGACTGCGTGGGCACGGCTAAGGCGTCTAAACGTTGCAATCAGCATGGCGCCTCATGCTATCTACTGTTTGCTTCGGAGATGCTGCAGGCCGTCCAAAGCGGCGAGGAGCTCCCCCACAAAACCCACATGCACTTCCACGTGTGACTGCCATACTAAAATCCCATAAGCATCAGCCGCAACATCAAAATGACTGCCCGTGCTGTGTCGGCAGATGATCGAGTGTTGTGATGGAAGTTTTCTCTGGTATGACTCCGATGTGTGCATCCTTGTTATACAGACCCAGCGATAGCGATGCCAGAGGTCGAGCGCTCGACCCAAAAACCATAATATGCGAAATTTTAAATCCAAGAGCCCATACCCTACAAGCTCCCAAGCACAAAAGCGCAAGCCCTGCGGGTGCTGTACTACTTCAACTTCATGATTTCTGGTCGAAGACTCTTGGGTTCAGGCTTCCTACTGCACAGCGACGGGAAAAGGAACACCAACCACGGACATCGCAGCAACGGCAATGGTAGCAGCATCAACGGCAACAACAACATCAGGAGCGGCTGCAACCGCAGCATGTCGGCAGCACCAACAGACATAATACCGTTCTCGACACTTCTTGAGCCACTCATACATTAATTGTGGTTTTGGATGGTATTGTTTCGGTTCCGCGGCCCCCACTCAAAAGCAAGCAAGTGGGGTTTGACCCATTGTGCGAGCAGGGTGTAAAGGGAAGCGACAGCTTGAAGTCCATTCGCGAAACTGGACCACGGCAGGATAGACATCGGGGGCCCTAGGGGTAACACCAGCCTTCTGTTTATAGTCCATCAGAATGCGATAGGGGGAGAAATAGTCCATCAGAAGAAGACATCTCTGATACTTGTCGTTGACAGTTCTAGCGCATATGCTGCAGAAGACTGCTTGCAGTCCAACTCCAAACTGCCATGACCTTGTGCCGGAGGCGTGAAGCAACATTTGCACAGAGAACGAGCACTTACGTAAGGACAGCTAGCAACTGCACGGATCAAGCTTGGGAGTCGTCTGAAAGGTGCATGGAGACATGGAGACGTAAATAAGGTTCCGGTGCTTAAGGGCCATCTTCACGTATGCACAGCGTATGAGTGGAAGTTGATGCTGATACACGTTGCTAGCAACTATTTCAAGCCAGACAAGACTTGCGCTCCAGAGGCCAGATGTCGCAGTGATTGGCAGCAATCTCAACCAGAGCACCAGTTCCACTCGCTTCCACTTCAGGAGTTCAAGCGTGTTTGACTCTCCTTTCAGCTTCCTTGTATTTCCCTCAGCTACCAAGTCCGCTTCCAAATTCCAACGGGAGCAGCACATTCTGATGGACACCACTGAATAGCCAATGTCAAGACCTACGATACTCGCTTGCCAAGACCATCAAAATTAAATAGGGACAGCGATTTCTCGTTGAAGTTCTCCATGGTGAAAGAGGGTCTGCCCTTTCCAGGCGCAGCACCTGCGCACCCACAGCCACGCACGCACGCCCACGCATGCCGCGCACGTGCCCACGCCCGCACATGCGCCAACAGATCGCCTGAATTTTGTCTTTTGCCACCGCCCCTTTGTGTCCTAGCAAGATACACATGCAAGACCACTGCGCGGCAAGTCTCTGTAAATATTGTAAATGCTACAGTTCTGGCTAGGCATGTCAGCACAACTTGGCAGGACGGCTTCTATCACGAGCTGCAGAAGATTGAGAAAATGAGAAGCCCTGTGCCTTGGGATAGTCGTTCCTTGGACTATCTTGGGCTCATAACAACAACTTTCCCACATTGCAGGCGTTGTCTGCCATTTCTCCATCTTTCACTGCTCTTTTGCCATGCAGAAGCAAGTTTTTGCAAGTTTTTGCAGCCGAGAGAGAGAGCGAGAGACTCAAATAGAATGCAAGTGGACCGCCGTAAACCCATGCTGATTGGGTGTGCACGTGTCATTGTACGTCTGTCACACTCTCGTTTTCGTATTTTTTTATGGCATGAGCCTCTTCGCAAACTACAATCGTTCTTCACTCTCCGAAAGCCCCAGTAAAACATTGGGGTGGGCAGTTTGCCCGGGGACCTTGACCGGTCTCTATGCCCTGGAGAGAGAGAGAGAGAGAGAGAGAGAGAGAGAGACTCAAATAGGCGGGACTATGGGTTGTGCCATGTGTACAAGCCGGACTGCAGTACTGCAGACTACTCTCTCTGGCCTTAAGTTTCATGCTGACGAGATCGACGGACATGCATAGTGCGGTAATTAGCGTGCGGCGAGGCTGCTCCAGTGCCTAGGCCCGAGCGCGATGCAAGCAGAAACGTCAGTTTACTCCGTCGACCGGGGAATCAAAACGACGACGCCAAGCTCGCAAGTTTGGGGGAGCGGGTGCAACTAATTAGTATTCTGGGACGCCTGAGAACGGTAATACATCATCGAGGGCATGCCCACTCAAAGAACACACGGCCTCCAGCCCCATGTATTGCCGGTGGCTGGTGGGTGACCTTAGCCTTCAGACGAGGCGGGCTGGCGGGTCTACGCAAGTGGTGAAGACGATGTGTCTTTGCGCAGGTGAACGATCACAGTAGGTTTTGAGAAAACAAGAGCCTGAGACGTGGAGGATGGCGACGGCGAGGTGAGGGAGATTGGGAGAGCGCTTGTCTTGGTTGCGCTCGGCTGTCCTTCATGAGGCTTCTTGGATCGGAAGTGGAGGCTGCACCCTGAGCTCCAGAGTGCGACTCCCCCTTCCTTGAGAAAGCTTGCTGCAGCTGAATAACTAAAGCACTGGCACGGTGGCTTTGGCCCGCTGTGGCAAGTACATGTGATCGTGCCTCTTGTTTGTTTGCCTGGGAGAATTCACTTCGTTCGCGCCACGCCAAATTCTGTCGCATGATAGCTTGTGAGCAAGTGCAGCTAGTCGTACTGTGGACGTGAATCGTGGAGCTCAAACGGCAGAGCATGCGCTCAATGTCCTGAATACACGCCATGCACTCTTGTACTCCAGCAAACCTGTTGCTGAGAATCAGAAGTCCGGCGTTCGAGCAGAACCAGGGCCCGATTCTGGCTGTTTGCATTCAGTCCACAAGGAGCCAGCGGCAGCCAAGCTGCCTGCCACCAGGCTCCTGCTATTTATGTGCTTGCTTAGCAAGCTGCGATTGGTCGGTGCTGGACTGGCAGAAGGTCAGCCTGCCCCATGCACTTGGAACCTCATTCTTATTCGACCTGGCTTTCACTCCTAAGGAGACGGTCGCGAAGCAATCATCCGGAATGTCCCCGTGTAGGCCCAAGATGGCCCAGGATGTCATATTGACATAAGACGCAGATACGGATTGCAGACGAACATCTTGGTCGACAGTTCATGGTAGTTTGTGGTGCTTGAGAATGCAAGCATTTTTTGTCTTGCTGACTCTGCGCTTTCTGCAGTTGACGAACTGCACGATGGCTTTCAGCACGTTTGGGCTGCAGGCAACATGAGTTGCCGAAGACCATGTGATGGTAGGCGGATCCCCTTCCGAGCAAGAGGGTCCAATAGCAAAATCTTTAAAGATTGAAAAAGTTGTTGACACTGCCAATTGCCGCCGTCACTTGAATTTCTGATTTCCCGCTGCAGCAGGCAGGCAAACCAGTCAGCTGCATGCTTCCGGAAGCCGCCGGTCTCCGCAATGCAGCTTAGACGTCCAAAACACAAACACCTGGATCTCTTAAGCAAAAGCCATCACTGCCATCACATCTGTAATCAGGAGTCATATGCTTAGATGTCAGCATGGCCATTGCCACCTGCCGTCGGCCGCATGGAAACGACGCTCAGGCCTTTTGCAGCTTAGTGGGCGCATGCAGCTGCTCGTCTCTGAACAAAGGAGCACCCAGGTGGGAGACACCAGTTTCGACATCGCCAGGCCTGCAAAGTCTCGTAGACAGGATGATGGAAGTGCGGTGTGCAGCAGTCGATATGGGGTGCGTGAGCATCTCCGTATGTAGGGCTTGTTCGCTTGAAATCGTCGGTAGGCGATCCTCGTACCAAGTGATTCTGGATCGACCCCCAACAAGTGCAGCATTTCTTGCAGTGTTCCTTCTATCTGAGAGACTTGCAAATATCAGGTGGTGCCGCCAGGAGCTCGACACGCGTCCATCCGACAAGGCATGTTGTCCTTACTTTGGCCCTCGTCAGGGACAGACTCTCTTTTTGCAAATGTGTGCTCGAATGTACTGGCGGGATCCTTTAATTTCATCACCGAACCGACAACTTCTGCAGCTTGTTGCGACAAGTCCCATCATACACGGTGGGAACAACCTTCCAGAGAGTTCGGGGACTTTCCGAACGCATGACTGCAATCAGACACGGGGAACGGCTGAGGCTTAAACGATAGTTCTGCGCGAGCTGCAGGCTGCACGTTAGTTGGCGGAAATGAGAGAATTGAGAAATGGTGTACATTCAGAAAAGCTTTTCGGACGCGAGAGAATTGGAGCAGATTTCTGTTCTGCAGCCCCCGAAGCGAGCTCGCGCAGTGAGTTGTTCATCCTGCAGCTAGAAAGTGCTGGAGTTCTTGCCTTTCCGTTCCTTCCATATAAGAATTCAGAATGACATGCTCATGTGCTTACATACCCGTACATACCTGAGCACAGGTATTCAGGCTGCCTCGTTACTCTCCTATACAAGTTAAGGGGTGTTGGCAGGTTCTCTCGGAATGGGGCCGCGGCGACTGCGCCAGCCCTCTCCTGAGCCTGCATTGCATGAAGTGTTGCGTGCAACCACCCAAGACTCCGGGCTGGATTGCCTTATGTGAGCTCCAATCTGGAGCTGCATGGTCAGGCTGCACCCCACGGTACAGTGAAAGCCAGACAAGCTTGGCAGAATTTTGGGGGACTGTTCCCGCTCTTGGGCAGATGCGGGGCAGGATGGCTTCAAAGTTGAAACTTCGTACTGGTCGCAAGGAATGTAATGAGGGAGCCACAAACAAGGAGCTTGTCAGACGTCGAGATCTTGTGTCGAGCACAACTACAGAAGCCTGTCAACATGACCTGCAAGCCTCAGGCGTGGCAGGCTCGAGTCAGGATGGAGGCAAGTTGCAAAGACCTCTCTCCACAGTTCAACAGTTCAACGGCTTCGAAGGATAGCAGCTTGTATACAGGTGCTGACCGGACTCTTGGTCGATATGCCATGCGTGAAGCCTTGGAGGTAATCGAAAAGCTCAGTAGCGAAACCTATTGCAGACTTGGAGGCTCACCGCGTGGCGACGGCGGTCTTCTAGCAGCCATGGAGGTGCAAACCCGTAGTGGCACCTTCCACTGGGCCGCACAATCGAGCAGGTTTAGACATAAGACTTGTACGTACTCATCGTACTCTTGCCCGCAAGACAGCACTTCACGACGAGGCTGTCCTTGTCAATGGGCCATCCTCGTATATGCTCGCCGTAACGACACGTGCCAGCGTGACCATGCCTGCGCGAGGAAGAGGAAGGATGCAGTTGTGCTTCAGATGCTGGGACGTGAGCTACGTCAATAGTCACCCATGGTATAATTTTCCTGAGGCTGGTTAACAACCCAAGAATGCCGGAATGATTGCGACACGTGATACAATGACACATGTTCACAATAACCGATTGGCTGTGACGACAGGTGTGCCAAGCTCATCAGTACCGGCTCGTGTCCCGGAACAGCTCTTTGTGGTCATTCATTCATGTTTCCGAAAATCTGCCGTCCATCGTGATTACCACCTGGGTGGCGCTCAGTGGGGTTGACCCACTTGTCCCACTTGGTTTGGAGTTTGGAGAATACAAGTAGAATGTGCTTCACAGACTTTGTCCCTGCCTGAAGTGTCGGGGTCGTCCTAGCAGCGCATGCGGGGGATCCAAATTCAAGATGCGAAGCCAATGGGGCGAGTGGGCAAGTGGCAGGAAAAGGTTTTCAAATCTTTTGTTAGCGCTGACAAAGCCTTTTTTTTCGTACAATGACGTGCTCCAGATTGGGCCAGGTTTTGCGGCAACTGGGCCGGGGAGGAAGGGTGAAACGTCTTGAGGTTTTCCCCATAGAGTGGCTGCTTTCTCAGGATGAGTCTTGAGATGCATCGCCACCTGGAGCGAGTGCTAGATGCCATCAGACACTCGGCAATGAGACTTGTGTATGCGTCACACATCTTGAATTTTGATGCTAGCCTAGTAGTGGTTGCTATTTGCGATGGGCTCTTCGATGCTTCTCATGAAAGACCCCGAGGCCAGGGAAAGAAGCACGGGATCGCAAAGCCAGGGCTCAGGCAGAAGCCTCGTGACCTTGCAATTGTCAAGCATCGGCTGATGCGTGCATTGCAGAGTCCTGCGGAAGTTACTCGCCTGTCCAAGGCTGCGAGGCCAGGGCACCTTGGTCCAAACAGACAGCCCGTTCCTTTGTCTGTGGTTCAGCTTCAAAGTGTAGCTGAGGACATAGTCTGTTTTTTGTTCCGGTGTGCCGCTGTCACCACAGTTTGCATAATCTAGCGAGTTGCTTTCATTCTTAGGATCAGGTCAGTGCGCAGCGGTGCGGGCACCCCGTCCACCGCAGGTGGCTTGCCGTGGGCATTGGGCTGCTCCTGGGTCTCGGTCAGTAGTGGTTAGCGCATGTGCGCAGAAGGCACATGGTGCTGAACAGATCGAGTTTCATCGATGTTGCATGCCTGTCAGCAAATGGCTGGCATCACTGGAATCACAGCTTTGCAGGTAGAACATATAGCAGCCCACGATTCTGCACCAGGAGCCTCGCATACGACCTTCTGTTACTTCGAGAAGGCGTACAGATGTCATGTCAAAGTGGAGTGTTCGGAAAGCCTGCAATGTGGCTCGTGGATTTCAAGGGGTCTTGCGAGGTCACTGACGATCAACCGCGATCGACGATCGTGTTTGGTGAGTTTGAAGTTGCGGGGAGCATCGACAGATCACCCATGATCACCCGTACGCATCGTACCAAGAACCCCGCAGCAATCGCGGCTCAGTGACGTTCTGCCACCCCCGGGGTGGGCGGCTTTCTTGTCGTTATTGGCGCCATGTCCAGCGCACGAGTCGGAAGCGTCCAAGAGTTCGAGTGTGCAGACTGTGCAGGATCTGCACGAGATCATCGTAGCCTTGGGTTCATCACTTGCGCATCTCTGACGATAGTCACTGTTGTGCTTCTAGGAGTGACGTTGGCCCTCCAGCAGCTGGACCTTGTTTGCCGCAACGAGTGCGAGCAATTCCATTGCTTCGAATCGAACATCACTGGTCAGCTTGAATGCGTTGGCACCAGCAACAACTGCAGCCTTCGATGCCCGCTGCCAGATCAGAATGTCGCCTTCGATGTTTACACTGCATGCATGAGAAGGCTCAAATGCTTCGAGTTACGTGACGAGGAGAGACGTGCAGAACAGGAGTGCAAGGAGACAAGATGCGGGTTGTTCGGCAGGATGGGCTACAAGCTGGCATTATTTCGTGCCAGCCAGATAGGTATGCTGCTGTGGCTGCTGGCCGCAATGAGTTGTTTGTGCTTCAGGGAAGCCTTCGACCGTCCAACGTTTCCCAGAGACTGCAACTGCAACTACTGCTGTCGAGGTCGGTTGTGTTTGGCGCTTGGAGCCCTTACCCTCCTACCGACCTTTTGGCTTTTGCTGGTGTATCTGCTGCAAAGACCGCCGACACGTGGCAAGGTGTTGGCACCATTACTGATTCTTGTGTTGGTTGTGGTTGCCGCTTGCATATCGTGCTGTTTCTTGACCCTGGCTCGACTATTGGTTCCAGCTGCCGTAGATGCGGAGCAAGGTGAAAGTCTGCCTTTGAAGGATACCAAAGATTGAGCGGGAGAAGTATGCTTGCCTTGGAGTTCCGTCTTTGTTAATTCATTTGGACATGACCCCGAAGCCACGCTGGTGTTGATCGCTATTTGCTTGTTTCATCTTGCTTCGAAGGCTGCTGGGTCCTCACAACTTCACCCAGCCAAAGACTCCTGAAAACGGGCGAATGCCAATAGATGGTGTTTTCATGAGACGCGGTAGCGAAGTAACATTGCATTGTCAGGAGCTGTGCGCTGAACTTACGGGCTCCTCTTCTCAAAGAGGAGCTTTTGACCGTGTGTTTTGATGCACGAGTTTACCATCAAGTATGCGGCAAAGCATCACAAATTGACACGGCAGTTTCGGGCCACGAGCTTGGCTTCTATGACAGATGTCGTTGAGCAGACCATCCATCAAAACAACCGTATAGCATTCGGGGCATAATGCCAACCTTTGAGTAGTAAACCTCTCCTCATGTTGCGATTGTAAAATCGTTGCTGACCCCACCACAGCCCTAATCCCTGCCACTCCCCTGCACCCTGCACCCTCCAACCATCTCCAACCCTCCCCACGGCCTCCCAAAAGAAAACAGCAGCGGGGCTGCCGGGGCGACCGGCAGACGGGGATTTCATTTTGGCCCCCGACTACGTACCGCAAACATAAAGCGCCCGGCAGGCTATTCCAAGAGGACTCCGAGATCGCAGAAACGATTGTCACGAAGGCGGCAACGCACATGATAACCGTTGTTTTTAGGACATCTCATGATGCCATGCTATGTATGTTTCATCTTTGGCTCAGGCGCCATCTGGATTTGCAAACTTTTGTGCCGCCGCAACACCCTGCAATTTTTGGGGGATTGGCAAAGCTTTAAGGAGCACTGCAGCCAGCAGTCAGGGCGAGCGCATGTGCTGGTACTTTGCATCAGGCTTTGCAAAATGATGCCTTCCCGTAAATTTGAGGCCGTGCCCGCGTCGATGCTCCCTTAGCTCCTGATCCCTCACAGGCTCTTTCGACTTTCGTGGCCATGGCACGTAGTGGCAAAGTCAGACTGGCAGGCTCCAAGAATCTGCGGCCCCATGAACGCAACAGTCGAGTGAAAGCAGAAAGCCTACATGCACCACAAGGCAGCATAGCTACTCAGAGCTACAAGTCCATATTGTATGCGCCCCATCCCGATACATGCGATCATGCAGCTGCTTGATTGAATGCAAGTCTCCCCAAAGATGCTCCCAATCTGGCTAGTACTCGGACAGACCGCAGGTGCAAGAAACACCATCTTGGCAAATGTTGCGGGAACAGCCGAAACGCCCCGCTGGGCCGTGAGGGCCCTCGCAGCTTGTAACCTTGTGGGGCCTGCAGAGCTTTTGAATCTTTGCTGTCCCATGCTGAGACCCACTGGTCGTCCTCGGCCTTGCTCACTGGATCGGAAGGCAGCCAGCGGCTTACTGCGTTGAGCAGTGTAGGGCGGTGGTGCTCGGCGGCAAAAAGCTCTGAGCGAGATCGTGCAGCCCGCCCTGATGTCGTCTGAATGCAACATCAGAGCGGGGCTGTGCGAAATAATGCAAACTTTCCGCAGCTTCATGCTTGATCAGGCTGTCCAGCATGCATCTGGGATCACCCGAGCTATGAATAAGATGCCGCTGCCCTACAGATACTCCTTGAGCATCTCTGAGCCATGTGACCGAACCCCTTCCACAAGTCCTGTTTTGGGCAGGTTTCATGTTTCCGACATGTGGTGCACGACTTGCGGTCTGAGGTCTGAGAACGATGCGGCAGCTGAGCAAAGGGGTCGTGAGCGCCAAACTGGACTGTTCTGCGAGGTGTGGACCGGCCGGAGCCCGCCATCCTTCCAGGATGCACCTGCCGAGACCGGGAACTGGCCGATTACATTCCCTAGTTCTCACGGACTCGGATCACATCCAAACGCCCAGCCAATCCGACAGCCACAGCTGAGCTCGAGTCAGGGACAAGGTGAAGCGGTGAGCAAACGTCCAGATGCTGTGCCTCCTACAAGCCTGAACATCTCAAATGCCGATCCGCAGCTTCAAGAGCAACTTGGCACGCAATTAGGCAGGGTCATTTGTTGAGTCGGTCTCACAGTAGCAGCAAGGCCATTACACTTTGAGACAGCCTGTGCCAAACATGCTTGCGGTATGCGCACATGGAGTCTGAGTTGAATTGGCGGAACGTGGGTCGCGCAGGTTCTGCAAGTTCTGATTCGGAGAGTGTGAGCAAAGAGACTTGAACTCGCAGACCCGACCGTTACGGCTGTGCAGCCTGGTCCGCCGACAATCGCGTGATTCATCGCGCTGGTGGTGTAGGGCACAGGCGGCAGGCTGGGACCCTGAGTGGAAGCAGGCCTCGTGAACCTGATGATCCTCGGCAGCTTGGATGGCTTTTGGCGGCTCTGGCGATGGAAGCAAGAGCTCGCCAAGTGGTAGAGCGGCTGGCCAAGATACGCCGCATGGTGATTTGAATGAGCGCGGCGCCTAGACGACTGCGACACGGGCGCCTGGAAGCGTCGACAGCGACAGGGTCGTCGTGTGCGATTTTGAATGAGCAACGCCTAGACGACAGCAGCACGGCGATCTAGAATGAGCACGGCGCCTGGCCTGGGCCACAGAACCGAAAAAAAAAACCAGTCCCATTCACCAAAAACAGAAGAATCCTCACATAATTCCGGATCCTCGCTTAATCCTCGGTCAATTTCCGCCCTTGAACTCGAGGAGTTCCAGCGTGGGCCTTGGCCAGGTACTCACAGGTCGGTCAACATGCGATTATGAACTTGGGAAAGCTAGAACCGCGATACATCGCTGTTTGAAAATCACAGTCGAGGCCCCTACGACTATGTCCACTGCTACTACTACAAATAGAATAGTAATAACAATTATCGTATACTAATAATAATAATTATTATTATTATTGTTATTTTTATTGTTACTATTATTACGATTATTATTATTATTAGTAGTAGTAGTAGTAGTAGTAGTATTTTTGTTTATTCTTAGTTATTGGTTTTGTTGCAATTTCTTCTTCGTTTTCTTGTCCTGCTGCTGCGGCCAATACGACGACTCCTACTACGACTACGACTGCTAGCTACTGTTACTGCTCCAAGCTCTGTCGTACAAGGTCTTTGTAGAGCATAGGATGACATGTTCGCAGACTGCGTGCGAGTCAGATCAGAGCGCTAACCTTTGCAAGCACAAGTGAGAGCAATGAAGATGCTCCGGCACGGATGATCTTCAAAGTTGTGTCGGTTTGGGGCATATTGATTTTGTCTACATGGGCAGTTTGCCCGGCACCCTTTATTCGGCATAGGCAGCGGTAGCTCTTGGGCTCCGCTTTCCCTATCGCCGCACATGTTGCAAGGTACATAGCCTGCAGGGAGAAAGACAAGGCATTCCTTGCTCTGCCGGCCACAAGCACGGAAGGGCCGTGGAGTGATACCTTCCATGACACCCCGGCTACCTCGGAGCTTGCATGCAATGTTTCACTCTCAGATGAAAGCCCTTCGCTGGAAACGTCTCTTCCGAAGAAGGCTGAGCCTATGCATGTATCAGCTCCCAGTGGTCCAAACGCTGTCGCACCAAAGCAGAGGGCAGAATGCCAAGTCTGGAGCTTCAGCGCACGAGACACTTTCCCTCCGCACGCCAATGTAGTGACTGGGATGCCAGCGCCGGAGTCATCACGACCAGTGAATGCACAGTTCTTCGTCTCCGGCACCAGCCCTCGATGGTTTTCTCCTGACTGGTTTCCTGCAACCTCGATCCAACATGTCGCCGACTTTGGTGCCGAAAAGGACAGGTCTTTGGCACTCCCGTCAGTTGCCTGCAATATCCAATTCTGCTCATAATTGTCATAATTCCCTTGACACACATTTTGCAGGAGAACCGTGGTGGAATCGTCCCTCGCTTGCATTTGCTCTCGGGGCACAGCGCAGAGGCTTCACGTGAACGGGCTTCAAACCTGACTCGAAGTTGGCGGACTTCCAACTGAACTTGAATCAGATGAAGAGGTGTAGGCATCATGTTGCTCTGCAGACTGCACAACCGATATTTCATGAGTCTCCATCATTCGGGGCACCGTGGAGATAAGCGAAACTGTCGTCGAATAAATGATAATAACATACAGTATCCAGGCGAGTGCAGGCCAGGCATCCCTGTGAAAATGAAGTCTGGAGTTGGACACAGAGACTTCGAAAAGCTGACAGCCCAGATGTCTTCCACAGTTATAGGTGTGGGAGCCAACAGCCGTCCGGCAGCACAACGATGCGACAGAGGCCTGTCAAATCGGTAGCATGTCTGAGTAGCCTTGTCCAAGCAGGTGCATCCGTTTCCAGGCAGTGTCAGTGTTGGGTTTTAATAGATGTCTCAGATGCCATCATCATCGAAGTCCAGGCAAACAGTGACAAGGAGCAAGGTCGGTCATGACTGTCCAGTGGAGGAGTTTTCAGAGCCGGTCACTGTTCGAGGTCTATGCATGCATCAACTTCAACGAACGCCTTTCTTTCGTTTCGGAATCCTTGTAGAGCCAATCAGTGGCGTTGACACGTCATCCCCGCATTTGGGAATGGGTTCGAGGCTGTACTGGGGGCATCGCCTCTCCTAGGATCTCATCTTCTCACATTCGCAAGAATGGCCTCCACCAGTGCAAATCAGTCTCTCGAACATATTGAAACAGCGTCCGTGCTACATCATACACCCTAAGCCACTCCGTTTCTTTCGATGGTTTTCGGTCTAGACAGAACATGATCTATTTGGGGAGCCCTTGCATGTCAAGAAAGACATAAAAGAGAGCGTCATGATATTCCCTGCTCAGCTTGCACAGCTGGATGCAGGAGTTCCCGGTCTCTGATCTCTTGGACATCTTTGCTGCAGGCGCCGCACCGTCTGGCATCTTCAAGCGCGTCTGAGCGGCTTGCATTGGTAGAGCGGAATAGGCGCACTCCCGATGTCTGCAGAAAAGCTGCAGATTCGACCCAGCGAGCCTAGTCAGAGCTCATGAAGCTCTGGTTGACCAGCTGCAGTGTTTTGTCGTGCCAATGGTCCAAATGTGGTCCCTGATTCGTTCACGCCTTCATCATGCGTCCCTGTGGTCGCTAGATGTCTGCAAACCGCATTGCACATGCGCCATGGAGCAATCAATCCAGTGAAATTTGTAGTTTTGTCCCTGGCCGGTTGGTGTGGGAAGAGTGGTTGGCATCGCGCAATGCAGTCGGTTTCTCAGCTCGGATCAACCTGCAGTTTTGAAGTCATTACAGTCAAGTGGTTGAACATGCTCGAAATATGTCAATGATGCAATGCTTTGGGTTTGGGGTTTTGTGGCTACTAGTACTAGTACTGCTGCTGCTGCTGCTGCTCCTGCTACTTTTATTATTATTATTACTACTACTACTACTACTGCTACTGCTACTGCTACTGCTACTACTACTACTACTACTACTACTACTACTAACTACTACTACTAACTAGTACTACTACTACTACTACTACTACTACCACTACTACTACTACTACTACTACTAATACTACTACTACCACTTTACTACTCCTGCTGCTGCTGCTACTACGAATGTGACGACTACTACTACTAGTACTACTACTACTACTACTACCACCACCAACTACTACTAACTACCACCACCACCACC